ATAGATTGAAGGCTGCTCAGGACCGACAGAAGAGTTATGCTGATAAACGGCGGAGACCGTTGGAGTTCGAAGTCGGTGATGAGGTCTTCCTAAGGATTTCTCCTTGGAAGGGCATCATTCGATTTGTATCGAGGGGAAAGCTTAACCCCCGATACATTGGTCCATTTGAAATCCTTGAAAGGATTGGAGCCGTGGCTTATCGTCTCAAGTTGACACCGGAACTTGAGAAGATACATGACGTGTTTCATGTATCGATGCTCAAGAAGTACATACGAGACCCATCTCATATTCTTGAGAAACCACCGGTAGAGATCCGTGAGGACTTGCAATATGCGGTGGAACCAATGAAGATTGTTGGTCAACAAGTGAAGAAGCTTAGGAATAAGGAGATTCCTATGGTAAAGGTTCTTTGGAGGAGTGATCGAGTCGAAGAAGAAACTTGGGAGACCGAGGTCTCAATGAGGGAGCAATACCCATTTCTTTTCGATTAGATACTTGGATTTCGGGGACGAAATCCCAATTAAGGGGGGGTGAACTTGTAACACCATCCCCAAATATATTTACTTCTATGTAAATAATGTATTGAACCTTATTAAAGGATTAATGAATTTACGAGGTTGTAAATTTTTGTTATTTTCTTTCGCGTGAATAGTAAATTGCACGTGGGGCCCACATCGGGAGCGGGGGCCACCCAACATTCCCGAGACCGCATATTTTATTCATCTTGGTCAAGATAATATTTATATGGTGGTGGATATTTTACTTGGGTCGTGGAAAGGCCCTGTGTTGGCCGATTGGGCAAAAAGGAGCCCAAATACCGGTACCGACAATTTAACGGATAGCAGTCCGAACCGGATTTCGGGGGCTTATAAATTAAAGTTGGGGAATGCATATTCATTATACATGTCATAATGAGTAAGAGCACACAATATATTTTATTTGGCCCGATAAAATAAAACATGTTTAAAACAGTCCGAAAAATACAACTTTCGGGACAAATTGCACACACCGGGACACAAAGGGATGACCTCCCACATGAGTGGGGGCCACCCCACGTTTTTGTGTGCAAGGGTTGACTAATTGGTGCCATAAGGACACATGAAGGATGGATGATAGGATGGGAGGAACATGGTTGAAAGGTAATGGACCCCTTTCCACCCACTCATTGGCTAAAGGAGACAAAACTCACCTCTCCACCCTCTTTCATCTATCATGCTCGACCAACCAAGCAAAAGGAGGAAGGAAGGAGCTTTGCAAACCATTCCCATAGCTGAAAATTCGAGCTCAACCTAAGGGAGTCCAAAGAGGAAGATAAAAGAAGGAAAAAGTTGGGGAAAGTGTGATTTATTAAGGTAATGACCTTATTATAACTCTTCCTTTAATTTTCTTCTACCATATGAAGTATATATCATATTAAGGACCCTTAATATGGTTCCACATGTTATAAGTATGGATTTATGGGTTGGGAAGTGGTTCTATGTCCAAGAACGGACTTAGAAGCCAAAACGACCGGTTCACCGGAAAATAACCTTTTTGAGGTTATTTGTATTAATATGGGTTTTATGATTATAAAACCTTGTTAGGCACTTGTAAAGGGTATTTCAAGTGATTTCACAAAGTTGGAAAAAGTCGCCGGAGTTGTCGCCGGAGTTGACCAAGTCGCCGGAGTTTCACCGGAGCTCAACCAAGAAGGGTAGAACTTCTTAACGCTAGTTCAAGGTGAGTGGACGGCTTAATATCTTATAACTTTTGGGTTAATTATGAGATTACCTAAATAAATGTTATATGTGTTCATAATAATGTTTAAAAGATATTTAAACATGTGATTAGCCAACATTATTAAGTTGTATGAAAAGAATTTATTGTTTATGCACGAAATAATATATGAGGAGTTATATAAAATGCATATTAGCTTGAAGTGTAAAAGAAGCACAAATGAGTATTATTAACTTAATTATATGATGATTAAGTTGATATGTACAAGGCTTGAATTGGCGGTCAACGACAACGTTGACCGATGGATAATGGATTAATTAATATCGATTGGTATTAATTAATTATACATTTACATAATTGCATGGCTTTGCATGGAATGTGATACATAAGTTTTATGTATTGAATTAGTTATGAATGATTAAATATGATATAGACCCTATCTAGTGTGATATGTGGTAAGTCATAGGTCGGGTGGAGTACCCAAGGATCGGGCGGTTATCCTCAAAACTCGGTTATATAGGGTGGAGTACCCAAGGATCGGGCGGTTATCCTCAAAACTCGGTTATATAGGGTGGAGTACCCAAGGATCGGGCGGTTATCCTCAAAACTCGGTTATATAGGGTGGAGTACCCAAGGATCGGGCGGTTATCCTCAAAACTCGGTTATATAGGGTGGAGTACCCAAGGATCGGGCGGTTATCCTCAAAACTCGGTTATATAGGGTGGAGTACCCAAGGATCGGGCGGTTATCCTCAAAACTCGGTTATATAGGGTGGAGTACCCAAGGATCGGGCGGTTATCCTCAAAACTCGGTTATATAGGGTGGAGTACCCAAGGATCGGGCGGTTATCCTCAAAACTCGGTTATATAGGGTGGAGTACCCAAGGATCGGGCGGTTATCCTCAAAACTCGGTTATATAGGGTGGAGTACCCAAGGATCGGGTGTGTATCCTCAAAACTCATAGATTACATATAATGATCTAGGACCGGGCGGTGTCCTTATGATAATTTACTTGAACAAGGAGGAGTTCTATACACTCATAGGCATATGGGTGGGTTGGGGTTTTTAGTCAAGAATATTGACTATTACTATTTTTCCCAAATAAACTGGTGATCTACGGATCGGATATTTTTCCAAGTATATATATACTATTAAGTATTTCATAACTTGGGGGAAAGACTATTTATATAAGTATCACCCTATGTTTGGGTCTTATACTTGAAACGCTAGTTATTCTATATTTAGCCTGCTACTCGCTCGGTACTTGTACTGACCCCTTCGGGGGGCCCCACCATTTTCAGGTTGAAGCTAGGGCTTGCTACTTGCACCTTCTCACGGGTGATATCATATCGGGAAGACGTGGTTCGTGCTTCCTTATTTTCTTTCAAACTACCAAACACTTGCTCATGGATATTTGTTTTACTACAAACTATTTTTGGGGCTTGCATGCCCATGTTGTTGGCCGGTTGTGGCTCATGACTTACCGTTGAATATTTCCGCTATTCATTGGTTTAAATGTGATGTTGTTATGTATGTTTACTACTGAGTATGGATGGATTGTTTTCTCGAACGCCTTGTGTAACTAAGTGAGGTTGACTCGTGGGTGACATCACTTAGTTATACGGCGGTTGTACACGCGCTTGGATTGCGGTCTGGGGCGTGACACTCCATATGCAGATTTAAAGGAAAATTGGCCATCCTCCTCACAAGTTCATATCCATCTGCCAGAGGAGTCCAGGGTGCTGAGCTCAAGACCCAGATCATTAACTGAGCAGATCCTTCTCCAAATTGCAGAATCTGTAATCTTGGGTACCATATTTCCTCCCCTTTCATATCTTAATCTCATCATCTGTGCCCATAAAGAATTTCCATTCTTCCATTTCCACCAAAGTTTAAGTGTAAACGCCTTCTCAATGTCAGTCAGCGATCTGATCCCCAGACCACCTTCCATGGTAGGCAAACACAGTTTAGACCATTTTAACCAGTGGTATTTAGGTCTGTCATTGGATGCCCCCCAAAAAAAGGAAGCCATCTTGCTATTTAGAACCTTTATGACCTTCTTTGGCATAGTATCCACTGCCAAAAGGTGCAAAGGGATAGAATTGAGCACATACTTAATTAAGATTAGCCTCCCACCTTGAGATAAATTCTTTTGCTTCCATGGAGAAAGTTTTGTTTCAAACTGTTTAATAATGTTTCTGCAATACCCAAATCGATTGATACCCTTGTGCAGATTTACCCCAAGGTATTTTATAGGCAAATATTTCAGCTTCATGCCTAGAAGATCTGCTATCTGATTCTGTCTTGTAAGAGATGTTTTACCACAAATGATTGAACTCTTTGAAAGATTGACAGCTTGACCTGATGCAGCCTGGTATTTGTCTAGAAAATCCTTAAATTTCAATAGAGATCTAGATTCTCCATTAAGAAAAATTAACAGGTCATCAGCATAACCTAAATGAGAAATAGCCCTTCCCTTGTTTCCCATCCAAAATGGCCTGATAGTGTTATTCTCCACCAAATATTTCAGCCCCCTTGAAAAAGCTTCTGAGGCTATAATAAATAAAAGAGGTGAGAGAGGGTCTCCTTGCTTAACACCTCTATAAGGCTTAAACAAACCTTGTGGAGAGCCATTAATAAGAACTGACAAAAATGTGGCCTTGAGATTATTTAAAATAAGCATAACTAAATGAGAGGAGAATCCAAACTTTAGAAGAATTGCAGAGAGAAAATTCCAGGAAACCCTATCAAAAGCTTTAGCCATATCGAGCTTAACAATCAAGTTAGTACCCCTTATCTTCTTGTCCAAGCAATGAACCATTTCCTGTGCTAAAAGAATCTGATCTGCAGCATCTCTGTTGATCATAAATCCAGCCTGTTCCTCAGAAATAATTTTGGGAAGAATGACCTTGAGCCTTGAGGCTAGCACTTTTGTGCACACTTTATTAATGAAATTAGACAAGCAAATAGGTCTAAAATCACTAAATGTAGCTGGATTATCAGTTTTAGGAATAAGCACCAGTAAAGAACTGGCCATCCCTTTAGGAATAAGAACCCCCATAAAAAATTCCTGAACTGCCCTTACTACATCCAAACCCACAATATGCCAACATTTTCTGAAAAATTTACCATGAAAACCATCTGGACCTGGAGCACTGTTATGATTAAGATCCACCTTTGTTACCTTACCATCTGTGTAACGTTTTATGTTCCTTTTGCTAATCCTTTGCCTTTGTCTTGCAGGTTTCAATATGGATCGCATGTCGTTCATGACTCAGGCCGTGAAAAAGGTTGACGCGGAGATGAAGGCCGTTAAGAGTTCGGCCAGTGGTTCCCAAGGCAATGCTGAGGCCGTTAAGAAGCCCATTGTCTTTAAGAAGAAGAAAAGGACTGCCGATGAAGGGCAGAAGACTATGACCGAGACCAACCTGCAGCCGGCGAAGGTGGCGAAGAAGACGAAAAAGTCTTCTACGGATGAGGAGGCCAGATCCCTAATCGTCCAGGCTGCGGGTGAAGCTGGGGGTGCCGACGATGCTGATCGTTGGTAGATTTGACCAAAGAGGCCCCTTCGGCTGCCCTTACTCCGCCCCCTCCGAAGAATGCAATAGTCGCTTCGGCCAAGGCCCGTCCTGGCAAGGAACCGGGGAAAGGGCTCTCCGAGGTCACCGTTCATTACCCTATGAAGGGCGACCTATTTAATGAAGGCGTCAGTGGGGACGACGTTCTCTCCCAGGCCACTCCCGACGAGGATCGGCTGTATCTGAGCCGTCAGGGCAAAGAGGTGCGCCTGTATGACGGTGGGATGGACTTCATCGTCCAAGTAAGTTTTTTTTTTATTGTACTTAAAGATTTTTGTTCCTTTTCATACCTCCTTATCCTGTCTGATCTTACATGCTCTTCGTCCAGGGTGCTTTTATGTTAAAGGAGCAGCATGGCCGAGATAGCTCGGTTGAAGAAGTTAGAGGAGAAGATCGCTTCGGCCGATGAGGCCCTAACTACCCTAGAGAAGCTTCATGCCGAGTTGGATTTGCTGGAGAAGAAGGCTGACGAAGAGCGCCAAAAGGTGCAAGCCTAATTGGACGAAGAGAAAGCCGGTTGCGAGAGAGCCGAGGAGCGTGCGACTGAGGCTGAGAAGCTCAAGAATGGGGCTAAGGAGGATGCTGACAAGTGCATTGAACAGTTCCTGGCCGACGGGTGGAAGGAAAGGCCGATGACCGGCGCCCCTTTTGCTTTTAGGTGGTGGCCAAGAGGTTTAAGGACTGGACGACGAGTGATCCCGACAGCCAGACATACTAGATGCAAGAGATGAAGGCGTTCTATGATTGCGGCCAATTCAGAATGCAGAAGCTGATTTATAGGAAGCTTTGTCGACAGTTCAAGAAGATGAGGCCTAAAGGTTTGATCCTGCCCCGTCTGATGAGAAAACCAGAGGACAATCTTAAGCTACCCTTGGCGGAGAGGCACCCTCCTATCTTGAGCTCCGATGAGGAGGACGAGCCATGGAGTGATAGTGACAACTACCTACTTGAGGGCTCTATCAACTCGAAGGCCGACGAGGATGATACTGACGATGAGGCCGATAGTGGGGCCGGGGAGGATGCTGCTCAGGGTGAAAATCAAGCCGATGAGGCGGCCTAGCTTGTGCCTTACTTTTTGCATTGGGTAGATAAGGGCCGTAGCGCCCATGCTAATGTAATGGCCGAAGCGCCCACCCATATGTACTTAGCACTTTGTTTAATGAAAATTTTATGCTTTCACTCTTATGTTTATCTTCGTCCTCGCCATTTATTTCTTATCGGCTTCATCCTTGTTTTGTGTGTTTGGCTTCTTGAGAAAATATTTCTAAGTACCAAGCTCAAATTTCTCATATGGGGTTTCCAAGTATAAACCCTCTGATGTAGACGAGGAGTGGGACCATGACTTTTACGCGTAATCTGTTGATTTGTAGTGAGACGTTGCGGTCATTTTATTCTGGGTGTTCCCCCTGAGAACGATGTGTCCCGTCGTCCAGATCGTTGCTTTTGCATGTGTACTGATTCTCTTGGAAATTTTCTAAGTATCAGGATATTTCTTTGATGCAAAGAGGTGTTACCCTCGTATAGCCGAAGCAATGTCATTCTAAAGCATTAGAGATCCTTCTAAACGGATGAAATGAAATGTTTGCTTCGTCCTTGTGCCCCTCCTCGGATAGTGATGCTAATGGGAACTTTTACCTGAATAGAATTGGCTAAGTATTTGTGCCAGTCTTAGGTTGTTCTTTAGAGTGGGACGATACGTCTTTTTCACGGGTGACCTTGTGATTAGGCCGATGCGAGGACATGCAGGTGTCCTTTAGTATTTGTATTTTTGATATGTACTTAGCCAAATTGTGGCTTGATATGGGGATCTTATTTTTATAGCTCGAAGCCGGCGAGTGCGCGGTCCGTCAGCTTCCCTTTTTTTTTACTTCCTCTTTACGCTCTGGAGCGAGGAGTGATGCCTTCTTGAGGCTGTGGCCGAAGGGTTGCTGTGCCTTCGTCCACATGTGGTTATTTTTCCGCTACGCTTTTGCGTGAACTAAGACGAGGGGGTTCTTGTGCATGCCCTCGGCTTAGTGTGTCAGTGGCTTTATTTTGGAGCCTTTCCTCGCCTATTTATGACGAGGGATCGGTCTAGCCATTGTCTTGCGACGACTGTCCTTATTGGTCCTTTTAGAAACGTTACTGACCGGGGAGTTTTTGTTACCTTGGCGTTCTTTCAGGCCTGTCGTCCCGCGTTTTACACGTGGACGACGCGGTAAGCTTCTCCGTTTGAAGACGTTGGACCATACAGACAGGTCCTTCGTCCTACATATCGTCGGCCATTCCTGGGTGTTTCACCGCATGGGCCGATGCGATATTCAGTCGTGTTTGGTTTTTCCTTTTGCCTAAATCTTAAAAGAATAAGTGGAACACGATGTTTCGTTTAGATAAGTGGCTCTAGCCTCTAGGTCGAGGGTGCTTATTCTATCACTAACCCGAGGGGCAGGGGACGTTGCCCTCTTCACCACTTCTCGAATTATTGATAAAATCTCACCAAGTGTTGTACATTCCACAATCGTGGTACTTTTGACCCATTAGGGTGTCTGAGTCTATATGTGCCGACATTTATCACGGCGCTGATGATGTATGGCCCTTCGTATTTGAGGGCGAGCTTTCCTCCTTCCGTCGGCTTGCTGGCCTCCCTTCGGTGGAGGACATAGTCTCCCACTTGAAATTCCCGGGAGCGGGCTTTGGCGTCGCAGTAGTATTTGACTTGACGTCCATACTTCTCTGCTCTGAGGTAGGCTAGCTCACGCCTTTCGTCGATGAGGTGTAAATCAATCTTCATGTTCTCCTTGTTGGCCTCAGGGTCGTATTGCTAGCTCCCACTTCTGTGGGAGCCTTCGCCTCAAAGCCATAGCACAGAGAGAATAGTGTTTCGCCGGTGGCTCTCCTCGGCGTAGTGCGATAGGACCATAGGACATTGGGGAGCTTGTCGACCCAGCTGCCTCCTTCGTCCTCATGTTTCTTCTTGAGCCCCTCCAAGATGGTTCTATTGGCGTTCTCAACTTGCCTGTTACCCTGAGGGTAGGCAACAGAGGAGAAACGATGCTTGATACCCCATGCTTGGAGGAGGTCTTAGAATGGTGCGGCCTCAAATTGGGTGTCGTTATCGGATATGATCTCTTGAGGGATACCGAAGCGGGTGAGGATGTTCTTGTAAACGAACTTCCGGCACCGTGCTTCGGTGATGCTGGCAAGTGGCTCTGCCTCAACCCATTTGGTAAAGTACACGATGGTGACGATGATGAACCTGTTGTTGCCCGCACCCCTTGGAAGTGGGCCGACCAGGTCAATCCCCCACCTAGAGAATGGGATGGCCATACTGACCGGGGCGTAGTTCACTGCTGGCCGACCCGGTGCCCTCTGGTAGTGTTGGCAGGCAGTGCATTTACGAGCTACTACGACACAATCTTGTGCCATCATTGGCCAAAAGTAGCCTTGGACGACGAGGCAACGTGACATGCTGAAGGCCCTTGATGCGAAGAGCAGGTTCCGCAATGTACTTCTTCCATGGCCACCTCGGCCTCGTCTGGGTGTAGGCATCGGAGAAGAGTGTCGTTGTATGATCTTTTGTAGAGCTTGTCATTCTCAATGACGTAGCTCAGAGCCCGGAGTTTGGCCAGCTTGGCCCTCTCCTTGTCTTCTGGTAACGTGCCGGAGGTGATGAAGGTTATGATATTTGTGATCCAGTCCGCCGGCCGATGTTGTATGCAAAGGATGGGGCTGACGTGAATGCTGGACATACTCAACTCCTCTACACCTTGGCTATCTTGGAGATGTGCTCAGGGGTGTCGGAGCTGAGTCTAGAGAGTATGCCGACCTCGACGTTCTCCGTCCTTGGGATCTGGGTGATCTCATGGGTTTCAAATGCCTTTAGCAATTCCGCAGCCGCTTGCTTGTACTGCCTCATCCTTCCTTAGTGTAACACCCCGGCCCGTAGGACCCGAGGTAGTTACTCCAGACCTCTAATACTGTCCTCAGAAACCACCACTAGCTTTTACCACACATTTTGTCCTCACTCATGCGCGCCCTGAGAAACTTCCCAGGGGGTCACCCATCCCAAGACTACTCCCGTGCAAGCACGCTTAACTTTGGAGTTCTTGGGTGATGAGCTCCCTTAAAAGGAGATGCACCTCTGTTGGTATGAGTAATACTATTAATCCTCTTAAATTAATCTCGGGTATTACAATCACCCCCACTTAGGATCGCAACGTTCTCATTGCGCCCTTAAACCAATCTTTATCAAACCCCAGAATCTTTTCCCCTGGTAAGTGTCTGCCCGATATCCAACGGATCAGCACACTGTCGCAGGGTTGCTCTGATACCACCTGTAACACCCCGGCCCCGCAGGGTCTGAGGTAGTTACTCCAGACCTCTAGTACTGTCCTCACAAACCACCACGAGCCTTTACCGCACACTTTGTCCTCACTCATGGGCGCCTTGAGAAACTTCCCAGGGGGTCACCCATCCCAACACTACTCCCGTGCAAGCACGCTTAACTTTGGAGTTCTTGGGTGATGAGCTCCCTTAAAAGGAGATGCACCTCTGTTGGTATGAGGGCCCTTGATGCGAAGAGCAGGTTCCGCAATGTACTTCTTCCATGGCCACCTCGGCCTCGTCTGGGTGTAGGCATCGGAGAAGAGTGTCGTTGTATGATCTTTTGTAGAGCTTGTCATTCTCAATGACGTAGCTCAGAGCCCGGAGTTTGGCCAGCTTGGCCCTCTCCTTGCCTTCTGGTAACGTGCCGGAGGTGATGAAGGTTATGATATCTGTGATCCAGTCCGCCGGCCGATGTTGTATGCAAAGGATGGGGCTGGCGTGAATGCTGGACATACTCAACTCCTCTACACCTTGGTTATCTTGGAGATGTGCTCAGGGGTGTCGGAGCGGAATCTAGAGAGTATGTCGACCTCGGCGTTCTCCGCCCTTGGGATCTGGGTGATCTCATGGGTTTCAAATGCCTTTAGCAATTCCGCAGCCGCTTGCTTGTACTGCCTCATCCTTCCTTAGTGTAACACCCCGGCCCCGTAGGACCCGAGGTAGTTACTCCAGACCTCTAATACTGTCCTCAGAAACCACCACTAGCTTTTACCACACATTTTGTCCTCACTCATGCGCGCCCTGAGAAACTTCCCAGGGGGTCACCCATCCCAAGACTACTCTCGTGCAAGCACGCTTAACTTTGGAGTTCTTGGGTGATGAGCTCCCTTAAAAGGAGATGCACCTCTGTTGGTATGAGTAGTACTATTAATCCATTTATATTAAATCTCAAGTGTTACAATCACCCCCACTTAGGAACGCAACGTCCTCGTTGCGCCCATAAACCAATCTCAAATCTCAATCAAACCCCAGAATCTTTTCCCCTGCTAAGTGTCTGCCCGATATCCAACGGATCAGCACACTGTCGCAGGGTTGCTCTGATACCAATTGTAACACCCCGGCCCCGTAGTACCCGAGGTAGTTACTCCAGACCTCTAGTACTGTCCTCACAAACCACCACTAGCTTTTACCGCGCACTTTGTCCTTATTCATGCGCGCCCTGAGAAACTTCCCATGGGGTCACCCATCCCAAGACTACTCCCGTGCAAGCACGCTTAACTTTGGAGTTCTTGGGTGATGAGCTCCCTTAAAAGGAGATGCACCTCTGTTGGTATGAGTAGTACTATTAATCCTCTTAAATTAATCTCGGGTATTACAATCACCCCCACTTAGGATCGCAACGTTCTCATTGCGCCCTTAAACCAATCTCAATCAAACCCCAGAATCTTTTCCCCTGCTAAGTGTGTGCCCGATATCCAACGGATCAGCACACTGTTGCAGGGTTGCTCTGATACCACCTGTAACACCCCGGCCCCGCAGGGTCCGAGGTAGTTACTCCAGACCTCTAGTACTGTCCTCACAAACCACCACGAGCCTTTACCGCACACTTTGTCCTCACTCATGCGCGCCCTGAGAAACTTCCCAGGGGGTCACCCATCCCAACACTACTCCCGTGCAAGCACGCTTAACTTTGGAGTTCTTGGGTGATGAGCTCCCTTAAAAGGAGATGCACCTTTGTTGGTATGAGTAGTACTATTAATTTGTTTATATTAAATCTCAAGTGTTACAATCACCCCCACTTAGGATCGCAACGTCGTCGTTGCGCCCTTGAACCAATCTCAATCAAACCCCAGAATCTTTTCCCCTGCTAAGTG